AGCAGGAAGATAATGTATACATTTCATTAAATATTAAAGTTTAATTTCTTTTGTGTGTGTGCATAACTTAGTGGTAGGCAGGTTTACAGGATGGTTGTGTTTTTTTAACTCTTTGTGATTTGGATAAAAACAGCAGTGTTTTCTGTTGCCTAGTTGATTACTAGGGCATAAGCTTCCCACCTATCTTTGGGTTTAACAGCCCAGAATAGAGCTTATTGCTTGAAGCTGGATGGCAGGTGCTGTCACCATGATTAATGGGTGCTGGGAGTATGTGTTAGCATTGCCAGTGACTCTCCGGGTGAGGAGGAATTGGTGGTAGGAAACAAAGGTGAATGAAGTGAGCATTCAAGAGGGCTGGATGGTGGCTGAGAGGGGGTGGGTCCCACTTTCTCTCTGGGTATGAGCCAAGGGCAAATAGCTCTGGGAAAGTAAGCTCAGTTAAAAAGAAAACAAAAAACCCCACTAAACCTACCCTTGTTAGAAGAGGTGTTTCAAGGAGCAAAGAAAGAGGTTCTGTTGCATCTCCTTGAATTCCTCTGGAGCTGATGGGAAAGAGACCTCTTGGCTTGAGTGGATGCAAGAGAGGAGTATTACCCACTATTAGAAGGTGCTGTGGGCAGTGACTTAGGGCAGAAGTTGAAGTTTTTCTCCTAATCTGTAAGAGGTTCAGCTCCCTGCTCGTCACCGTTTGGTTTGGCAGGGTCCCTGATCCCTATATTGATGCGTTTCCTGCATGTGAAGTTGTTAAGAAGTTGTTTCCATTCTGAGTGGAGATCAGATGCCTTTCCAGACATCTACAAGACATCCATGTGCCAAATCATTCATTATCATACATATTTCATATGAATATAGTTTGTTCATATTCCACGTACTGTTAGGGAGGCATTCATGAGGCTTGCATGCAGTTTTTCAGTCCCAAAATGAAATAAAGCCACAAAAGCAGGGGTTTTGCATACCTTTAAAATTTGGCCTGATCCTGGCATCGTATCCTGAAGTTCGCCCCATCAACTTATCCAAGAAATCAGAAGGAGACATGGGTTTGGGGGCAGATCGTGCTGCTGCTTCAGCTTCTTTGGAGGCTGCCAGGCTGTTTGAGTAGAAAGAGAGAGGAGGTTTTAGTGTGTGTCCAGTGCTGGGGAGTGTTTGGGGTCCAGAAATCGAGCAGTCAGCATCTCGTTCTCGCTGTGAGGCAGGGATGGGTACCCGCGTGAATTCCTGATGAGGCTGATCTCTGCTAATTTGTTTGCCCAGCCCAAACATCTCTGAATACAGAATCCCAGCTGCCACCAAAATAGAAGAGAGATGATGAGTGGAGAAAATCCTTTTGTGAGTTTAGGTATAGCTCCTTGGCATGCCACTAAATTACAAATGTGAACTCTGGCACAGAGCTCCACAGGAAAAATACACTCTGAGATTAGCCTCAGGCAGCAATTACTGTTTAATTACATGGCAAATAGCAAGGAGCATGTTTGGTACTCTGACCGTCTAATTTTCCAAAAGGCAGGTAGGATTAGAGCAATCTGGAATCTGAGGCTTAAATGAGTGTCATGTGATTGCATAGCTCCTGCAGAGCCTTTGGGACTGTAGGGGATAGATGGATTTTTGCTTCCCACTTGGTGGTCGGTCCAGGATTTATTTGCTCTTGGTACCTGCAATGCAGGGGTCTGAGTTCAATACAGCAACGTGGTCTCTGGTCTTGGGAGATGTCTGGAGCATGATCCTGAAATGATACTCATGTTGGGCTGAGGATGAAAGGAGATGAAATCTTTTTGGGACCTGTATGGCCTTTGGGGCAGAAAAACTGAAATTGCCAATTATCTGTAGAAGACAAAAATCAAAGGTTGGCAATGTGCCTTCTAACTCCATGGGAGTCTGCAAGATCTGCAGCATGATGATTTGGGCTTAGGAAGTCTGTTGTTGCTATCTACACAGGAGCAAGTGACCCCTGGTACTAGGTGCTCATTGTCAACTTTGCGGGAAGGTTTGGTATCTAAGATGGGAATAGACACTATGGGGCTCCTTCCCTATGGTGTTATGGCTTCTGCTCAAACACAGGTCTGTTCCCAGACTGACAGTGTGGTGTACAATTGCCTAGACTAGCAGGGAAAAAAACCCCACAAAACAACAACCCAAACCAAACTGACAGGTGACGTACAATGTGCTTAGGGCAAAAGCTGTGGGTTCAGATGTCTGATGAAGCCTACAGGCAGTATTGCAATGCAAATGTATAAGCAGCCAAAGAAAGCTGCTCAGGAGGAAGTTAGGCTTATTGCTTCAGCCTTTGTAAAACTCTCGATTTATTTATTTTTTTTTTAAAGTACAAAGGCTATGTGTGAACTGTGAGAAGCCACTGTGACTGAGCAGCTGAAAGGCATGTTTACAGCAGGCACAAGATATTTAGCTATGTATGTCCTCACAAATGACACCATGAAGTCATAGAATGGTTTGGGTTTGAAGAGATCTTAAAGGTCATCTAATTCCAACTGCCTTGCTATGGGCTGGGACACCTCCCACCAGCCCAGGTTGCTCAAAGCTCCATCCAACCTGGCCTTGAACACTTCCAGGGATGGGGCATCCACAGCTTCTCTGGGCAACCTGTTTCAGTGTCTCACCACCCCTTGTAATGAAGAATTTTTTCCTTATATCTACTCTAAATCTACCCTCTTTAAGTTTAAAGTCATTACCCCTTGTCCTATCACTACATGCTCTTGTAAAAAGCCCCTTTCCAGCTTTCAGCCTGAGTCGTCTTACAGTATGAGGACCTCACCTTGCAAAGTTCTGCATTTCTTGTCTTAAGAGAGTCTGCAGTAGTCAAAGCTCCTGTCTTTCAGAAGAGTAGTACTAAGTACTGACACAAGATCTATCAAGAAGAATTTAGGGACTGTTACTATGGATGGTCTTAATGTGACTCTGCCCTCAAAGACCTGTTCATACAATGCAAGGTTGAGCTGAGACTCCAAAGACACAAACTGTTATCTAGACAAGGCCTTGACAAGTGCATTTTGAACCACTGAGTTTGCTGGGACTTTAAAAATGGATAGGATGCAAAAGGGCTTGGGTGCTGTAATTTCAAAATCACGAGTCTGTAGTAACCTGTATTTGCGTTGATTCTCTTCTCTAGTGTTAGCAGTGAAGTCTTGCCAAGCCTTGGTTTTCAATCCTGCCAACTCACAACTGCAGTCTGGCTTCTTTTGCAAGCTGCAACTGTGTTAGGGTTCTCTGATTGCTAGGTCTCTAACTGTTAAAAATGGTTTAATTTCTGGAATAAAGAGGGGAGATAAATTCCAGATCACTTCCAGTGAGAGTCTAAACCAAGGCTTTCGTTCACCATTTATATATTCATAATCCACTCCCACACTGGACCTTATCTGAACCGGCTGATGCACTCTGCTTGGAGGTGATCTGACAAGGTGTGGATCTAGGTTGTACTATACCCGCGCGCCACTTGTCCTGTCCCCATCTCTGCTCTAAGAAAGTAGCAAAGCCAAAGCGGTGTGTCTGGGGAGTAAATGGGGTTGTGGAATGGGTGATGGTTTTTATTTATTTATTTATTAGAAGCAAAATAACAGGGTGCGATTGATTTGCAAACTCGGAGGAGGAAAGCTGGGAGTGGGAGGACAATCAATACTGGGCTCGACTACTGCATTCCAGTAGAGTGTCTGCATGGCAATGAGTCTAGAGAAAAGATTTCAATTAAGCAGCAAATGACTTGGTAA